AACTATGAGTTAACAGCTTTGTCTGAGTTCTGTAACTTCCCTAGAGAATCAAGCCTAGAGACCCTAACCCAAGCAAAGATCAGTGAGAACTCTATAATCACTGGTGGATGTTAAATTGGTTGAACCCATGCGAAAATAATTTAGCATTAGCTTAAGTTCAGCATTTGCATATTCTGCAACTCAGCAATTTTACTTTTGGCTACACACCCCAGAAAAATTCTTGCTGTGTGATCTTATATGTGATCTAGGACACATGTAAAAGAATGGCAACACTGTTCAAAAAAGCAAATAAATTAAAAACAATTAAGATGTCCATTAATAAGAATTAGATAAATTCACACCATGGACTACTATATAGCAGTAAAAACGAATGACCTACAGCTATACATATCATAAATTAATCTTAAAGATTTAACACTGCATGGAAAAAAGAGGAATCCACAAAAGAAAAATATGGTATATAATAATATCATGAGGATCAAAAACAAGCAAACCAAATGATAATTTATGTTTTTTCCTTTAAAGTAGAATACTACACATATATGCAAAACAGTGTTACTGTTTAACACTTCACAGTGTTACTGGGAAGAAGAAAAGCATAAAAATATAATGAATCGTCATGAACTTGCCACTCAACCCTGGAATTGGAGCCTTACCGATAACATGGCAATCTAACTTTGTACCCTTTAATCTACCCCTCTGCTTCATGCCAAGAGATAAACACTATTTAGAATTTTGTGTTTATCATTCTTTTGCTAGATTTCTACCTTAGTCATTTTTTTTTTGGCCACAGACTGTACACTCTTTGGGAAGCAGTAAGTTTTCAAGAAAATACTAAAACTTTAGGTTTTAAATTTGTTTTTTGTTGAGAATGTAGCTTTTACTTATTTGAACAGGTCTCTACCTCCAGAGATGTTAGGTAAATGTTTAATGTAATATCCTTTATATAACAGTATAAGCACAGACTCTCATACACTTACATTTTACTTTTTGAAAGAAAGAACAAAATTGAAGGACTCACAAAAACAAGACTTCAAGACTTACTACAGTAAATCAAAACCATTGGTAAAAGGACAGGCACAGAGATCAGTGGAACAGAACACATTATTCAGAAACAGACCCACACCTCTATGGTCAAGTGATTTTCTACAAATGGCAAAGGTAGCCCACACCAAGAATGAGTACCAGTCTATAGGACAAATGAACTAGTTTCTTCAACAAATAAGTGGCTTTTTTAAAAGAACAAACGATTGTATTAAATAAAACAAGAACTCGTAACAAAATGCCTGCGAACTTTATCTGGATCCCTGTGGAATAAGCCGACTCAAAAAAGGTATCTTTTAGTAAACTGTAATATTAATTTGGTATTAGGTGATGTTAAAGAGTTATTTTGTTTGATGTGATGATGGCATTGTGGTTATAATGTCCCTATCTGTCAGAGATACATTTCCAAGAATTTATTAGGTGGAATATAAAGTCTAAGATTTACTGTGAAATATGACAGAATAAAAAGGAAGAGAATGACCAAAAAAAAAAAAAAATCATTTTGAAATATACCCGAGCATTCTGCTTTCCTTAACAAAGGGCTATCCTCACGAGAGACTACCAGAGCCTTATCTGACCTAGGGGAAGGGCAATTAGACAAGTGGAGCCTCTCTAGCCCTTTTGTCTCAATTAAGGGGAGAGGGAAGAATTGGCTAAGAAACTCTTCTGAAAGTCACAACCCAGGACTCTGACTCACTAAACAAAATGGAGATTTCATCATAAGATTATAGAACATTTCCCCTTACAGCCACATCAGCAGGACTCCAGTATAGGAACAACGGATTATAACTAGAAGGCTCCAAGATACACACTCTAGTTAACAAGGAATTTCTAGGGAGACCCAAAGACAACAGGAGACACAAAAACAAGAACATAGAGGAAAAAAAGCCTCCGACACTGAAAGCTACAGTAAACAATAAACACAGCCTAACTCCTCACAAGATAAACTTAAATCCTCACACGAAAGGCCTATTTACCTCACTTTCTATTACCCCGTTACATCATGTTCAGCTTTCAACAAAAATTTCAAGGCATGCTAAAAGGCAAGAAAAGCACAGGCTGGAGAGACAAAGCAAGCATCAGAACCAGACTCAAATATAAGATTTCGGAATTAGCAAAATGGTAATTTAAAATAACTATAAATCATATGCTAAGGGCTGTAATGGAAAAAGTAGATAACATGCAACAACAGATGGCCACGGTAAGCAGAGAGATAAAAACTAAGAAAAAATCAAAAGGAAATGCTATAAAACAAAACAATGTAATGGAAATGAAAAAAGAATCAGTGAGCTTAAATATATGTCAATAGAAACTTCCCAAACTGGGGCGCCTGGGTGGCTCAGTCGTTAAGCGTCTGCCTTCGGCTCAGGTCATGATCCCAGGGTCCTGGGATCGAGTCCCACATTGGGCTCCCTGCTCAGTGGGAAGCCTGCTTCTCCCTCTCCCACTCCCCCTGCTTGTGTTCCCTCTCTCGCTGTCTCTCTCTGTTGAAAAATAAATAAAATCTTTAAAAAAAGAAAAAAAGAAAAAAAAACTTCCCAAACTAAAATACAAAAATAAAAAAGAATGTATTTATCTATTCATTCATTCATTCATTCATTCATTCTAGAGAGAGAGTGCTCGAACAGTGGAGGAGGAGCAGAGGGAGAGGGAAAGAGAAAATCTTACATAGGCTCCATGCCCAGCTCAGAGCCAAATGTGGGGCTCGATCTCACAACCCTGACATCATTACCTGAGCCAAAATCAAGAGTCAGAACGCTTAACCAAATGAGCCACCCAGGCACCCCAATAAAAAAGAATTTTGAGAGAGGAACAGAATATCGAAGAACTGTGGGACAATTACAAAAGATATAATATGCACATAAGGGGAATACCAGGAGGAGAAGAAAGAGAGAAACAGGAAAAATACTTGAAGTAGTAATGGCTGAAAGTTCTCCAAAATTAATGAAAGACACCAAACTACAGATCCAAAAGTTCACAGGCAATCAAGCAGTATATTGCCAAAAATCTCCACCTAAGTATTTTATATTCAGACTGCAAAAAAACAAGGAGAAAAATCTTGGAAGAGGAAAAAATGCCTTGCTTATAGGTACAAGGAAAGAATTATGTCAGACTTCTCTTCAGAAACCATGTAAGAAGCAAGAGGAGGGTAGAGTGAAATATTTAAGTGTTCAGAGAAACAAACTACTAATCCAGAAACCTGTATCAGTGAAATTATCCTTCAAAACTGAAAGAGATTAAAGGAATAAAAAGATAAGCTACAGGTTGAGAAAAAAACATTTACAAAACATGTCTCTGATAACAAACATATTTCCAAGATATTCAAAGAATGCTAAAAACTCAACAGTAACAAGCCACCCAACTTCAAAATAAGCAAAAGATGTGAACAGACACATTACCAAAGAAGATAGATAAACTGCAAATAGGCGTAGGAAAAATGCACAACATCATGTTATTAGGGAACTGCAAATTACAACATGAGGCACTACTACAGACCTGTAAGAAGGACGAGAAAGCAGAAGATGGACAATAAATGCCTGCAAAGATGTGGAGCAACGAGAACTCTCCTTCATTGCTAGTGGGAATGCAACATGACACAGCCGTTTTGGAAGACAGTTTGGAAATTTCTTACAAAGCTAAATAATCTTAACATACAATCCGGCAACCATGCCCCTTGGTATTTACTCCAAGTTGAAAATTTATGTTCACACAAAAACCAGGACATGAATATTTATAGCCACTTTATTCATAATTGCCAAAAGCTGGAAGCAACTAAGATGTGTCTCATTCAGTGAATGAATAAATAAATTGTGGTCCCTCCATACCAGGGAATATTATTCAACAATAAAAAGAAACGAACTTCAGGGGCGCCTGGGTGGCTCAGTTGGTTAAGCGACTGCCTTCGGCTCAGGTCATGATCCTGGAGTCCCGGGATCGAGTCCTGCATTGGGCTCCCTGCTCAGCAGGGAGTCTGCTTCTCCCTCGGACCCTCCCCCTTCTCATGTGCTCTCTCTCTCTCTCTCGCTCTCTCAAATGAATAAATAAATAAATAAAATCTTTTAAAAAAAAAAAAGAAAGAAAGAAATGAACTTCAGTCCTGCCCGACATTTGGGAAGAGGGGAGGATGAAGAGGTGAATCATGGGGGATTTTCAGGGCAGTGAAACTATTCTATATAATAGAATTCTGTATATAACAGTGGATACAGAACATCATGTGTTTGTGAAAACCCATGCAACTGTACAATACAAAGAGTGAGCCTAATGGAATCTCCAAACTTTGGTTAACAATAATGGATCAATACTCGTTCATCAGTTATAACAAATGCAGGGCACTAATGCAAGATGTTAATAACAGGGAAAACTGTCTTTACCATCTTGCCCAATTTTTCTATAAACTTAAAACTGTTCTAAAAAATAGCCTATTAATTTTAAAAAATAATTATTACTATAAAATGGTCAAAATGCTATTACTTCGGGCGCCTGGGTGGCTCAGTTGGTTAAGCGACTGCCTTCAGCTCAGGTCATGATCCTGGAGTTCCAGGATCAAGTCCCACATCAGGCTCCCTGCTCAGCAGGGAGTCTGCTTCTCCCTCTGACCCTCCTCCCTCTCATGCTCTCTGTCTCTCATTGTCTCTCTCGCAAATAAATCTTAAAAAAAAAAAAAAATGCTATTACTTCATTCTATAAAAAAAACAAAGATATAAATGTATTTATGTGTACCTACACAGAGAAAAAGAATGAAAGTTTATCTCTGGGTGGTAGAACTACGGGTCATTTTAAATTTTTTTCCTTTATGCTTTTCTAAATTTTCCATAATGAACACAGATTATACATACTGCTTTTTGAAAAGGTAAGATAAATAACTTTTTAAACTATTCAGAAAATTAAATACTTCTGCAAAGCTCAGTCTGCACAGATTTGTGGCTAAGAGCCACCGAAAAATCTAAGCTACTTACCTTCAGGCATAATGCTTTGGGTCATCCGTGATCCAGCAGCAGGGGCAATGGTGTTACAGTGAATGTTGCTTTTCTGGCCTTCAATTGCAAGGGTATTTGAAAGGCCCAGAAGACCCAGCTTTGCAGCACTATAATTGGCCTGGCCAAAGTTGCCATAAATTCCTGAAGCTGATGCAGTCATAACAATCCTAAAAGGAGAATCAATGTCTCAAAATCTCTTTTCCATGTTTTGATAACACTGCAACTCTAAGCCTTTTATTTTCTTTTTCTGTCCTATTACACCCGTCAAAAGCAATTCTGTTTACTGTCATTAGGTTCCTACAGTCATGATTCATATACACAAAGTAATATTTATAATAAAAGTAATCTCTCAAAATTCAACTACAAGATTTAACTGTTTTGAAAAGAATCCCTGATCAAGACCAAATGAATTCAAGTACAAGAATATATATTCATTATCTACTGAAAAGAGCAATAAATATTTATAAACATAAAATAAAGGGCAACGTACAAGTTATGGTAAGAAACATTAGAAAAATTAGTTCTAATTATTTAGTTCTCATTACTTTGCCCCTCTCTTTCTGGATAATATTAAATGCCTCATATTAAAACAATGCCATCTCTAAAACGTGACCCCCATCTCACCCTATTTAGTAGACCAAGTAAAATAATTTCTAACATTTATTTTCAGAAACTTTGGTAGTTAGGAGAAGCTAGAACTCTCCAAGAGGAACAGGTATCACAAACAATTTCCTGCTGGTAGATGTGTGTGAACCTCAGGTTAACAAGAAGGAGCCGGACAGAGTCCACGGAGCCACCTCCTGGCTCTGCCACACTCCCGGTCACTCACACAGACACAGCCACATTCCTACAGCTCCCAGTATCTAAAGACCAACTCAGGTTGGACCAGCACTAGCGAGCTGGACACAGCGCCCATCTGTCCTCAGTTGGCCCTTGGACACGGTATCACTATACTTCGGTTAGAGAATGAAGTACAGCTGAATCCTCACCGTTTGTATACTGCTAGAATATCAGAGAACACCAGGAAATCCGTTCAAACTGAAAAGTAGGAGTGAAAAGAAATATAAAGTTGCCCAGCTCAGCGAATCCTTGACTAAGTGACACCAATTTAATGAGAGGGTATATGCCAAGAGTACATTAAAAGCCTGCGCTTCTCTGACTAGATCTTCCTCACTATCAAAGCACTTATCTCTCCCTGTACACAAGGACCCACGCACAGCATCCCTGACCCCCCACCCCCGACAGTCACACACAACTCTACCTTCCAAACTTCTGTTTCTTCATATGATCCCAAGCTGCCCGAGTAACTTGGAATGAGCCTCGCAAATGGACTCTGTGGATTATATCTAAAACAATATTTTTATTAGATACTTTGTCAAAAATTAGATAAGCATGTCTCAGAATCAACATAAGCAATGATTTATTTATACAAAGATGTTCAGTTTATACTGAGCATTCAAAATCAACTACTGTCATATTGCTCCAAGAGTAACCATTTTTGCTTCTGTCCCAATTATGTAACCAATCAGCAGTTCATACCCATTCTCCCTATAATTTATGATAAAATTACTATAATCCCTGTACACATCTAAATACAATGCCATCTTTAATTTATGCCTACTTTATATAAAAATCCACTAATACATACATTCAAGAATTTTACACATAAAGCTGGTCCTGGGATCAAGTCCAGCATTGGGCTCCCTGCTCAGGAGGAAGTCTGCTTCTCCCTCTCCCTCTGCTCCTCCCCCCTGCTTGTGCTCTCTCTCTCTCTTTCCCTCTCTCAAATAAATAAATAAAATCTTTTAAAAAAAGAAAAGAAAGTAAAGGTATGAAGAGCAAACAGAAAATAAAAAGTGATTTGTTATTTAAACTCAATCTTTCCAACGTGGCATTCCTAATGGGATTTTCCCCTACTCATTAGAAGCCTCAAAATTACATCTAGGGGTCCCCCACAATTCTCAGATCTCCAACATTTTCAGGGCCCCAGACTCCCTTCCATATTCTGCTCTTGTTCTTGAAATAAGAATCGCACAAGTAGCTAAGCACGTGTCAGACTGTTAGAGTTAATATGGCTGGAAAATGCAAACAACTTCTCAAGAAGATAAAGGGGAAAGTGAATTGAAAGACACACAATCTTTTCAGGTAACTTCTGCCAAATGATTTTAAAAGTTTTCATTTATTAATGTTAAAAGAAAATAGGTTACTTCCAACTGTTGTGGTCATTTTCGGCTGTAAAGCTTATTCATCATGTTCGTCATCGACATCAGCAGAAGCAAAAGTAGGCAGAAGCAGGTTTCTCCTTAAATGTACAAATGTCTCAAACAGTAAAAAGGCTAAATGGATAGCTTTGCCCCACAGAGACCTATGTTACAAACAACTTACCCCAGTCTTCGTCACTTATCCTACCAAAAGAATTGTCCCTCAGAATTCTAAAAACAATGATATTACATAGGTTAGAAGGAGGAGTATCCACTTTTAAAACACCCAAAAACTTTGCATGGACATTATCATCCTACTCAAAATGAAAAAAAGAAATACTCACCCGGCATTGTTGACCACAACATCTACAATATAAAAAAAATCCAAGTCACAAACATAAAAACAAGCATATTAATTTGCATGGGCTTACAACTCATATTTCTTTCAAAATTGGGCTTTTTCTCCCCACCATGGAAAAGTAAATAATAATAGTAGCAGAAGAGTGCTATCAGAACAAAAATTTTATACCTATAGCAAAACAAAACACACAAAAAAACCTGATACACAAGTATCTCATCATGTCAGAATTTTCCTCTCAAATTTACATATGTAAATGTCTCCACCTTCACCTTATGCCAAAATTCTACCAGCTTACTGATAGAATCAGCTGTTGCCCAACTCTTAAGGTTCTTAGCATTCAACGGTAACCACAAGCTATCCCTCACTTAACCTCAGAATTCACTCAGAAAGTTCAAAGTTTAAAAGATTTTTCTTTGCCACTCAAGAGTCAAAATTCCAGAAAGGAAACTATTAGAGTTAGAAACTGGTGGCCTAGCTTAATACATAATTGTATTCTCATTATTATTAAAAAAAAAAAAAAAGGAATCATTTTTTTTTTTAAGGCTCAACCATCATCTTAGGGCTGTTCTCACCCTATAACTTCATGCCTTTGTGGCCTCCATCCCTCTGTAAAATTGCATGTGAACAAGTCCCTTATAAGCTCAACCCAACATAATCAGAAAAACAAATCTGCTAGACGACCAAAAAAAAAGGCGGAGGGAGCACATTCAAATTACAAAAATTAATGTCTTCCAGAATGTAAACATGTTGGGCTTATCTGCAGGAATGTTTCCCTATAGTAATTCAATAACCTTTCACTAAAAATAAAAAAATTTTTTAAAATAACCTTTTACTAGGAACGTGTGGAACTAAACCAGGAAGACTATCTAGAGAGGGATAAACTGAACGACACATCTGAAATCCTTCTTTCTGAAAAATAAAGATTTTTATTACATATAATTCATCTTAATCAATTCACAAGGTATTGAATCTTCATGATCCAAATCATAATTGTCTAAAAGATTCCACAGGGTCCTCTACTGCCAAAATATTTGTTTTATAAACATATTTGGGGTATAATTAAATTTTCATAAATAAAGAGCTCAGAAAATGCTCGTAAGTTTTTTAAAGTTTTTAAGTCCAAAAAAATATAAAACAAACTCAACACATTTTTGCATAAAAAATGCCACCTCGAGCCTTTTGTGGAATAAGCTAGGGTATATAAAATAATTAATTTGTAAAAGAAATCTAAAAACTTGGCTATATAAATAAATAAATATAAATAAAACCTTGGCTATAAAGAAAGAAGGAATTTCTTATAAACAAAAGTAAAATAAAAAAATTTGATTAGGAAGGTAGAAGCTGCTCTGTTAGTACCATAAACACAAAGAAACATCACCTATTCTTCCAAAAGCTTCTAGTGCTGTCCTCACAACCTTCTCTCCTGCTTCCACCGAATCTGGAGGAAAGGAAAATTAGTTACAAAACATCAGTAATATCCCTCAGAAATAACTTCTAAATTCTGTGGATCAGAGCACATGACAAATACTATTCACTCAACAGAATTCATTTCCACAAAAACAAATTTATATTTGCAGGCACATAACAAATCAAAATATAGACGATCTAATGTTACAAAGGAAATGTATCCCCTAAAACAATTCTTTAAAGTACCAAAAAAAAATAAAATAAAAAAATGGAGAGGGGAATAAATAACATTTTGGCAAATACTATCCAAAACAACATTGTCTAAAACAACTTTCTGTGAGGATGGAAATGTCTTATTACTATAGTAACAGTAGCCACTATCCACATGTGGCTACTGAGCCCTTAAAATGTGGCTAGTATGACAGACAAACTGAGTATTTAACTGTTCAATTTGTATTTAATTTTAAATAGTCCCAGAGGCACTTCCCCTTAAAGATGCAAATCAGAATTTACAAGGGAGGCAAGAAGGTACATGTTTAATTTGAAAAAGCATGTTCAATGCTCTATAACTACATATGTAAACAAACCTACTGTTTGTACATTACTAAGTACAAAAAGCAAAGCTCAATAAAATAGAGTGGCTTTCTTCTTTTCTGCTCATCAGCCCCGGGGGAAGAGCTCATATCCCCAGAGTTGTGTGTCAAATGATCTGGTATCAACATCCCACTGTCTCTCTCTATATTCTCTGCAATCACTGGGGAGGAGCCAGGAAACATATTCCCTTCCCTGAGATCCATATAGTCCTGAGTTAGATCTGCCAAAAATAGGCACCCATCTAAAGAATGAAGAAGTAGGAGAAGCCTGCACATGCAGGCAAATCTTGGAGCAGAGTGCAGATGAAAGACTGCTGAGCCACGAGAACCTGACAAGGTCATCCACAGTTTCCTTGACATGCACGTACCCAGCCCTTCCAATGGTTATGCAAGCCTCTAATTCTTTGTATGAAAACCCTTCACACTTGGACACCTGCAGGGGCTTCTGTTTTCCTAACTGCATCTTGATTGATTGATATGGGTTGCATATCAAAACTGGGGGGAGAGGCAAGAGAGAGAGTCTGGAATTTTTCTCATTATAAAATAGATTTTTTAAACTTCAAAAATTTAAAAAAGAAAAAAGTTGAAAACATTTTTGTAGATCCTCAATGAGAAAAGAAGATACTAAAATATCTGTCTCATTATTCCCTAGAACACTCAAAACAAATCATATCCTATTTCCTTTCCTTTAAAATTTCAAAATCGGGTGCCTGGGTGGCTCAGATGGTTAAGCGTCTGCCTTCAGCTCAGGTCATGATCCCAGGGTCCTGGGATCGAGTCCCACATCGGGCTCCCTGCTCAGCGGGGAGCCTGCTTCTCCCT